CCCCAAAACGACTGCCAAACGATTTCGAACCATATGATCATTGACTTCAATCAAGGGGTCGGCGGATGTGGCGCAAGCGTGAAGAATCTCCTGATAGATCTCGACCCACAAGCTCCCGCCAATGCAGATTGATGCTGTTCATCATGCTAAACCCATCGGTGCAAATCAGAGTTGTGTAGCATGCTTTCTATTTTGAGTGAAATTCATAAAACCATTCTCATTTGAAAAATGCATCCTATGGGCCGAGGGTTTCTCCACGTCTCCAGGCATTAATATTACAGCTACGGACCGGATAATTTCACAGGCAGACGCGGCAGAACCACTACACGTGAGAAAAATATTGGTTGCCAAAACGAACTGTCCAATTTTTCACAGTATCCAAAAAAACGACCCCAAGTTGCCACATTGTCCGCCCGAGCCGGGGAGGCCAACTAGCTCCACCCCGCGCCGGAATTCCTCTAGCTCATCGACCCCGAAGAGCTAGCTTTACGAGGTATATGTAGAGCTCCCCTTAGAGCGGGCGGAACTGACTTTGTATCGGGCGGAACTGACTTTGTATTAAACCAAGAAAAAGTACATTCTGCAAGTTTTCAGCCGATATTGCAGGAAGCTCTGTCCTCGTAATCTAAGGATAAATTTGCGTGTTGAGAGCTCTAGGGGGGTCCCGGCGGTAACCTGGTTGACGGTTTACCGCCGGCTCTCAGTGTCTTTCTTCTAGCTCATCGATGCCGAAAAGCTCTACGAGGTGCTAGCTCAACCCCGCGCCGGACTGCCCCTAGCTCACTGTTGCCGAAGAGTTCTTCGAGGTACCAGCTCCGCCCCGCGCCGGAAATCTTCTAGCTCATCCATGCTGAAAAACCCAGGTACTAGCTCCACCTCGCGCCGAAATTTTAGCTCACCTGTGCCAAAGAGCTCTACGAGATACTAGCTCCACCCCACCGTTTCGCGCAGACGACGACGACGACGACGATGACGACAACGACGACGACCAGCGGCCGCTCGAGACGATTCGAACAAACCCGGAGCGCCCGCGTGCGGGGCGCAGCTGCTGGAGCGCACCCCAGGGGCAAGAGAGTCTCCAAGCAGCCGACCCCGGAGCGCACCCCGGCGACGACGACGACGAAGACGACGACGACGACGACGACGACGACGACGACGACGACGACGACGACGACGACGACGACCGGCGGCCGTTTGGGACGATTCGAGCAACCCCGGAGCGCCGGCGTGGGGGGGAGAGCTGCTGGAGCGCAGCTCGGGGGCGAGAGAATCTCCAAGGAGCCGACGGGAACTCCCGAAGACCTCGGATACTCGAGCATCGACCTTCGGACCCGTCGGCTAAAAGTCCGTTCGAAGTGGGTCCCAGGCGTCGTCGTCGTCGTCGGACGTCGTCGTCGGACCCTTCTCTTCATCCTCCTCCGCCTCGTCCCCCACCGCGCCGTACTCACAGCAGGGTCCCCCTCCTCCTCCACAGTATCCTCCTTCTCCTCGTCCTCCTCTTCGGCCTCAACCGCCCCGTCCAGACAATCGTCGCACATGATGCACGGTCGGACAAACCTTTTGACCGCCACGTCAAGTACACCCCACGTGTCTCCCGAAAAAAGGTCAAGTGGAGCCCAGAAATATCCACGACTACTCAATGCAGCCTCCACAACACCCCCAAACCAAAACGCCCCACGATTCCAGAAAAGCCTCGGTGACCTGCAAGACCACCTGCAATTGAACAACAACGACAACAATAGACCCCAGGACAGCAACGATGATCCTGTCGGACCACCTATGCGCGCAAACATGCCCCCCCAGCACAGCCACCATCACCGAGTAGCACCCCGGGATGACACGACGCGACTCAAATAATGTCCCGGCGGCCTCCAAAGACAAACCCCAAACCCAAACTACCCCAAAAACACTCCAGCGACCAAAGCGGCCCGAAAAAAAAATCTGACAACCAAACACCTCATCCTCCCTTCCCCTTTCACGAGCCACCCATGGAATCCTCTACTTCCGAAGCCTCCGCACGCCTTCTGCCATGCTTCCGCACCTTCGACTACACCCATTATGATTCATACGCAATCCCAGCAATTCGGCGCTACAGTACCACCTGCGGCCTTCAAACCCACATCCCACGCACACACACAGTAACACAACAAGGATGCCGCTCACTGAGGCTGCAAGGCAATCGGGTTTGCCGGAGCTTTTGTGAGTGCAAATGCTGGGTGCGTTTACGCTCGCGGCAGCCACGGGCGGCACTGCCAGCATCGCTCCCCTGCTCCTGATGAGCACTATCATCACGTCGTTGCGCGGCGCGGCCCCGAAGAAAAAAACCGACGACACGCCAGGCCCCGCAGCGGCAAAGAAATCGAAGGCTGCTCCGAAGGGCAGCGGGCTCGACAAGGTCGAGGCCGACAAAATGAGGTCGTGGCTCTGCTACCAGTCCGAGAGGAAGGACGCCGACGGCAAACCTACGTCCACTGCAGAATCAGCCCAAGCAGCGCAGGCCATGTGGAACGGGATGAAAGACCCAAGCGATCGGAAGCGCTTCTTGCAGAGCTTCGCAAGTGATAAGGAGAAGACGCTAGATTGGATGGCCACCTTCGAGGAGCATTGCACGAACGAGGAGGTGCACGCCCGCTCTGGGAAGGGGGGGTACCAGAACGCATCGCAGGCGCTGGCTCTGAAGAACCCCAGCATCCGAGTTTTTAAGAACATCGAGAAGGCCATGGCCTTCGCGCAGGACTGGAGGGAGGAGAATAGCGCTGAGCATGGCACCGAATAAGAATGTCCTGGAATGGAAGATTCAAAGAAGAGGCATCTTTGGAAGCAGTGGTACTTCGTGGTGCGCAACTTGGGCGATAACGGGCTCGCGACGAAGGATTCGCGCACCTTCAAGGGATCAGCCAACTTGAAGAACATGAAGCAGCTCGAAGCAGCGGGCCCCAGGATGGTTCAGCTTCCTTCGCCCAGCTCAGCTGGGCCAGCGGAAAGGGGGGGGGGGGGGGGGCGAAGCTCGAGAACCCGCGCTGGCCACAGGTCGTCGGCAAGAAGGGCGAGATCGCGTGCGGCCCTCGGCAGCCGTTCCCTCGGCACTCATCCCTCTTCTGTTCCTCCAGACCCCTCACTGATAGGGAGTGGCATCCTCCGTCTCGCACGGTGCCCCTCCTGGAGGGGGCCGCCCGTTTTTTTTCATCAATGCGGATGTTGTCGTTTGCCCCCTGCTGAGGTCAACGCTCCTCAAGCATCAGAAGCAGCTCGAGGAGTTGAAACACACGAAGAACCAGTTGCTCGCGAAGGCTGGAGATCAGGATCAAGGGGCCCGCGCTCAGTTCCAGAACTGGGCGGCCGAATGCAAGAAGTGCGCGGGGAATGCTGATGACCACGAGGCGAACATGGAGATCCTCATTGCAAAAATTGACCACGTTTCTCCTGTCGGCAAGGATACGGAGATGCACGCGAAGCTGAAGGGCGAGGCCGTTGCCGCCCACAGCACGATGGAGCACATGTGCGAGGGAATTCAGCTGTCGCTCAAACGCCTCAAGAAGTTCCTCAACTGATACGTGGGCCTCGATACATATCCATAGTTACATCCGTATGTAGGGTGGGAAGCATTGCCTCGCCCGACGCAGCTACTGCGTTCATTGCGGCCTGCGCGTCGACACATGCAAAAACATAACGCACCGCGATTCTTTCTCGCAGAGGCCCCCCTCGCGAGGGGCCGCGCGTTTCTCTGCCTGCCCCGGCTCGAAAAAAAAAAAAAAAAAAAAAAAACGCCGCAGGGGGAGGGGGCGCAGGGGGGTGGAGGGGGAGGGCAGAGGAGAGCGAACGGAAGCGCAACAGGAGAGGATAAGGCAGGTTCTGGACAGACGGCGGTCGCGGGCGGAGGACGGGGCGGAGGGGGGGCGGAAGGTCACGCAGATGAGGAGGCGGAGCCACGGGATTGAAGGGTCCCCTCCAGGAGGGGCGCGGCGCAGAGACATGGCCATCCGTTCGCTTCCGTAGCGCTGGCACAAGGCATATCCGCAGTCACGCTCGCCTCCCACGGGGGGGCTCGAGGGCCGTCGGCATGCTTTCCAAGCGTAAGTTGCCTTACGAAAGACTGCAGCTGCCACCGCAGAGGCGGCTGAGAGCGAATGTGGAGGACCTGATCAGCAGCAACGTGATCAGCGGGCAGCGCGGTGAACAGTTGATCAATGACGCCGTCTCTGCGTCTGCGACAGGCGTTGTCGACCTGCAGACCTCTGAGACCGCGTCGGGCAGGAAAAACGCAGCCTGGAAATTCAGGCGCCAATTCTTCAAGAAGGGGTGGCCTCCGCAGTATCACTGCATGGCGAGGGGCTGGGTCCCCAAGTCTGAAACAGTGGCGATCGGAGGGTGCTTCTGGAGACATCGAATATCGACGGCGTGTCTTTGCGCCACGCGCAGGATGCGAGGGTTGAGAGCGGTTGCGACGATCTCGTGGCCTTGGGCGCGTGGCAGGGCGGAATCCCCTGCCTCTGGGACCGATCAATGAGCGCAGAAATCGTCAGCATCGCGCTGCCGGGGGCTGCAGGCAGCTGGAAAAACACGCGGGCGCCGCTCACTGCGTTCCTCAAAGAGCACGTTGGCCCCAATACTTTTGATGATATCTTTGCTGTGGCGCAATGGAGTTTCATGTATCTTTCTGCGAAACACTGGCCGACGGCGCGGCACGGCGGGCCCCCTCTTGTCGACGCGACAGACGCATGGGGGAAGCGGCAGCGGGGTTCTACACCGATTGGCGGGGTGCTTTGCCAGATCAAGGGGGATTGGAAGATGATGAAGGAGGTGCTCAAATTACCTGCGGGCCACCAAGTTCTCTTTGGGACTTAAGCGCGCGAAGGTTCTCAAGCATTGCGCCTCGGGCATCTCGGAGGGGATCAGCAAGACCACTTCTCTGGATATCACGCCCGATGGAGTTCTGCAGCAAGGTTGATGCTATTATGCCAAATGTGCCTTACTTCACGAAGTTAGCCGCGGGCTTTCAGGCCACGGAGTGTTTCGAAGCTGCGCTCTGCCATAAGACCAACTCCCGCGCCGAGACCTCACTTGAACTGGTTCAGATGGAGCCAATCGAGTCCAAGTCTGAGGGGGGCTTGGAAGAGCAGGCGGGCTTGGTGGATGCTTACCTGAAGGTCGTGCGGGACGCTACGGAGGCGATGCCCATGCAGGACGAGTTCCGACGGCTCTCCCAGCGCATCTCGGCTGAGAAGGCGAGGCTATCTTCAGTCGCGAACGAGGCTTCACACATTATCTCTTTACGGAGCGCGGCTGCCGATTGGAAGCAGATCGACTCCGAGATTGGTTCTATGGAGGCTGCATCGGCGCTGCGCCTTGCGCCTGAGAGCAGGGCCCCCAGCGCGGCCAAGGATGCTTTCGCCAACGTCTCGAAGACCATGGGCGGCCCCGAAGCATTAGACTCCGAAGCGGACAAGGCCAATATCGCCAAGGTGCTGACAGCCCTCGAGAAGCTCGTGGCCAAAGAGGACCAGGCTGCTGTCGACAACGCATCCAAGACCTGGCAGATGGCTCGGGAGTGCGACGACAGCGCTAAGATCATCACTGGAAAGATCGGCAAACAAAACAAGGTGTCCCAGGGAGAGGTGTCTACTGCCATCGCGACGTGCTCGCGACACCTCCTGGAGTTCCGCAAGCTGGCCGCTGTTTCGGGCTGGACCTCTGAGGGCCCAGAGCCGTATTGGAAGCGTTTGGTTACCTACTTCGATCACATCGAGGGCTAGGTGCTCTTGGAAGGGCTCGTGCATTGAGAAGCGGGCGGAGTCCTTGGCGAAGCTCATCACCCAGGTCAAGACCGACATCTCCGGGAACGCCGCCATTTCCAAGTTCATGGAGTGGCTCAAGGACGCGCCCCCCGCGGCGCAAGTCAGGGGCTCCCAGCGCGAGAACCCCATCGCTCTGAAGTCGGACACGTGGGATGGCATGATCCAGCAGCTGGTCACGGACCCCCGCTTCAAATGAGGTGGGTTGACTCCTCCTCTTCCTCCCCCTCGCCCTCCCGCCCCAATCCCTCCTCCCCGCCCCCCCTCTCTCTCTCTCTTTCTCTCTCTCGCTCTCCCTCCGTCAATCCCTGCCCCTGCGTTGCCGCCCCAGGTGCTCCCCGCCTCCCCGCTCTGCCCCCCCCACCCGCACCCCTTGTCGCGCTATCCCCTCCGCCCATCGCCGCGCCCTATATCGGCGCTGCCCATGTGACGTGCGCCGGGGTTTAGCAGCTCCCTCTGGGCGGCCACGGTCCGAAGCTAACTGGTCCAGCGCAGCCCGCTGGGGGGTGGGGAACCGTTCTCCGGCGCGAGCCCGCGCGCCACGAAACGCGCATGGAGCGACGGTCCCGCGCCCAACTTAGCCTAGCGAGCGCGAGGCCGCGCGCGTTGGATATCGCGCGGTTCGTTTTCAACCCAGCCCGATTCTTCGCGACTCGCACGCTTTCGCCAGCCCGCCCAAAACCGACGCCCAGGCGAGTTGAATCGTTCAAGGAAACGCTGGATCAATGAGGGGGGGGGAGCGGTTATCGTTCGAGGGCGCGAGGAGGAGGATAATAATGAGGATGAGGTCGAGGCGGGGGGGGGGGGGCGCGCGAAGGGCAAAAACGGGCGGATGAGGAGGAGGGGGAGATGATGAGGATAAGGGGGAGTACGACGGGGGAGGAGGAAGGGGGGGAATCGGGCGAACAGGAGAGCCACCAGCCTCTTTGAATGCCTCCCGGAGTCTCTACTGATGTCTCTCGGGAGCTTCCTGGGGGCCTCTGGAAGCCTCTTGGCGGGCCCATGGGGCGTCTTTGAGCGCCTTGGGGTGCCTCGGGGGTCCCCTTGAGGCCCCTCGAAGGGTCCCTTGGGGGCTCCGTGGAGGCGTCTTGGGCGCCTCGTGGGGCACTTGAAGCCCTCTTGAGGTGCTCTTGGGGGGCCTCAGGGGCGCTCCTAAGGTCATATCGGAGGAGATAGATCAAATTCGCCGGCCCAACGGGCCAGAGGCGTGCTAAGATCTCCGGTAACTGGTTAACAATTGTATTGTACTAGTTCGCGCGCGCGGGGCGGCCCCTGGGGGTCCCCCGGCGAAAAGTACCCCGCCCGCCGCCTGGCAAGGTCCCGCCCGGTTCAACTCAGAGATGGTTTTCCTTCTGGGTGCGGCCTCTCAGGCCGCCCTGAGCGCGCCAAGAGTGCCCCAAGAGGCCCCCAAGACTGCCCAAGAGGCCCCCGAGACGCCCAAAGAGCGCTCGAAGACGCCGAAGATGACCCCAAGACGGCCCAAAAGGCCCCCAAGACAGCCCAAGAGGCCTCCAAGACGCCCCAAGAGCCTTCCAAGAGGCCTCCGAAGAGAGCCCCAAGAGGCCAAAATCGTTGATTTTCATTGGTTTTTTCGATGTTTTTTGTGTTCTGGCTTTTTCGGCTTCCGGACGCTCCAAGACGGCCCAAGAGGCCCCCAAGACCGCTCCAAGACGGCCCACGAGGCTCCCAAGACGGCCCCGGAACGGCCCAGGAGGGCCCCCAAGACGGCCCAAGTGCCGCCCAAGACGGACCAAGAGGCCCCAAGACGGGCCCAAGAGGGGCTCAAGAGGGGAACCGAGAACTGAAAAATCGAGCCCTCCGCCCCAGAAGGCGCCCAGGAGGCCCCAAAAAGGCCCCAAGAGGCCCCCAAGAGGCCCCCAAGACGCCCCAAGAGGCGCCCAAGAGGCCCAAAAGAGGCCCCAAGAGGCCCCAAAACGGCCCCCAAAACTCGGCTAGCCCACAACGGTGCGACAATATGGGCCGGCGGAATGAGCGAAGCGATTAAATAATGGGTGCTCCTTAATCAGCCCCCCCTCCCCCTCGGGAACCTCAAAAATAATATCGCGGGGAGTTCCTGGGGCGCTCTTGGGGCGCTCCTGGGCGCCCTGAAGGCCGTCTTGGGGCTCTCTTGGGGCCGTCTTGGGGCCCTTGTGAGCGATCGCGGAGCCATCTCGGGGCCTCGGATGGCCATCGGAAACGAACGGGCGACGAAACAAAACAACCACATTGATTTCCTTTGGGTGTTCTGAAGGCTTGGCATATTGAGGATCTCCTCGGGGATCTCTTCGGCCACTTATAGTTGTCTTGGGGCGGTCATGGGTCATCTGGGAGCCTCTTGGGGGTCATCTTGAAGCGTCTTGGATATTGAGCCATCTTGGAGGGCATCTTGGGCTCTCTGAGGCCCTCTTGGAGCAGTGGGCCAGGCTGGATGCTCGGCGCCTTGCCCCCCCCCCCCCCACCCCACCCCACCCCACCCCGCCCACCCGCCCACCCCCCACCCCGCCCCCGCCCCCCCGCCAGTCCAGGTCCAGAGGGCGGGGGTAGGGCGGGGGTCAAGACCCCCTCCCCGCCCGCAAGCCGCCTCGCTCACTCCCACCCGCCCTCCCAACACATACGTAGCACCCGAGTCTGGCCCGAGCCTCAGCATATTCAGCAGTCGTCTTTGGATGGGCAGCTACTGGGGGCCAATCCGCCGCCGCCGCCGCCTCCGCCGCCGCCGCCGCCGCCGCCGCCGCCGCCGCCGCCGCCGCCGCCGCCGCCGCCGCCGCCGCCGCCGCCGCCGCCGCCCGCCGCGCCGCGCCGCCGCCGCCGCCGCCGCCGCCTGCCGCCACCGCCGCCGCCGCCGCCCCCCGCTGCCCCCCGCTGCCAAACCGCCGCCGCAGCCGCAGCCGCAGCCGCTGCCGCCACCGCCGCCGCCGCCGCCGCCGCCGCCGCCGCCGCCGCCGCCGCCAAGTGCACTCTGTATTTTTTTTGAGAGGGATGGCGCGGGGAAGGGGGGGGGGCGCGCATCGGGTTGGCTGCGCATGTTCAGAATTTGGAGGCACAGAGCGTGTTCTGGTTTGTTGCAGTGTGTGTATGTGTGTGTGTGTGTGTGCGTGCGTGCGTGCGTGCGTGCGTGCGTGCGTGCGTGCGTGCGTGCGTGCGTGCGTGCGTGCGTGCGTGTGCGTGTGCGTGTGCGTGTGCGTGTGCGTGTGCGTGTGCGTGTGTGTGTGTGTGTGTGTGCGCGTGTGTGTGTGCGTGCGCGCGCGCGTGCGTGGGGGGGGGGCGTTGTCATGGACTCGGGTCGGCCCCCGGTCGCCTGGGGGATGGGGTGTTTACTAATAGGAAACAATGATAAACCCTTCACCGAAGAGGGGGGGGCAGGGGGGGGAACGACGAAGCTTTCGAGATGAATTCCCTGAAGGGCGGGTGGGGCTTTAACTGCACATCAACATAGCGCCATGCGGTCTAACCTCTAAGCCACACAGTGAGCTCAAGGTGAACACCCGCCAACCTGGGAGCAGCGTGCACCCTCAACTCAGCGCAGGATGGCCCGCGCCAATCAAATGTCATGCTCGACGAGGGCTGGCGTGCAAATCGAGGCCCATTCATGTCGATCGCGTCCGCCCACGAGGCCCGCCGCGGCCCCGCCGATGGAGCGGTTCAGCTGGGGCGGGCTGCGCTTGGAAAGGGGCGGGGCAAAGCTGCCAATGGCAACCGAGGTGTATTTCTTGCTCTGGATCTCTAGCTTCGTCGCATTGCAAGGTCCCCCCCCCGCCCGCGCCCGCGCGCTTATTCGGGGCACGTCCACGGGGTGCCTTCTTGGATCCACTGTGCACGCGGCGTTGCATGGGGCGTCGCTCGCAACCTTTCTGAATGGGACAAGAACACGTGTAGGCAAACCGCATGTGGATTTTTGCATGACACTCGGGCCATGCCTGATAGGTCATGTGGCAAGGCCCGGGACGGCTTGAAACGCGCCAGCGTTCCCGTGCTTATACTATCCCGGCAAAGCAACCGAACAGCGATGTGTAGGAGCATATATGGAAGCATTCCCCTTAAGATTCAGATGAGAATCCAGTTGTAGAATTCTGCTGTTCTCGCAGTCGTAGTCGCATTCGCGATGACAGTCGCAGCGGCAACGGCAGTCGCAGTCACAGCCTCAGCCTCAGCCTGCCTCAGCCTCAGCCTCAGCCTGCCTCAGCCTCAGCCTGCCTCAGCCTCAGCCTCAGCCTGCTTCAGCCTCAGCCTCAGTCTGCCTTCAGCCTCGGCCTCAGCCTCAGCCTGCCTCAGCCTCAGCCTGCATCAGCCTCAGCCTCAGCCTCAGCCTGCCTCAGCATCAGCCTGCCTCAGCCTCAGCCTCAGCCTGCCTCAGCCTCAGCCTCAGCCTGCTTCAGCCTCAGCCTCAGTCTGCCTTCAGCCTCGGCCTCAGCCTCAGCCTGCCTCATCCTCAGCCTGCCTCAGCCTCATCAGCCTGCCTCAGCATTCAAAATGTGGCCCGGGAATGGAGTTCTGGGAACTCGAAGAACACGAAGTGGCCTACAGTTGGCTCCGGGCATTCAAAATCATGCCCAGGAATGGAGTTCTGGGAACTCGAAGACCACGAAGTGGCCTACAGTTGGCTCCGGGCATCCAAAATGTGGCCCGGGAATGGAGTTCTGGGAACTCGAAGACCACGAAGTGGCCTACAATTGGCTCCGGGCATCAAAAATGTTGCCCGGGAGTGGAGTTCTGGGAAATCGAAGAGCACGAAGTGGCCTACAGTTGGCTCCGGGCATTCAAAATGTGGCCCGGGAAGGGAGTTCTGGGAGCGCCAAGAGCGATTTTGCGAGGATGTCCCAAGCGATTTCGGCTTCGGCGGCAGCCGCCACGGGTCCCGCCCCGACCCCCCTGAGGAGTCATGATGCTCTCTTTTGACCCCACTAGAAACCTATCAGTCTTCGCTGTTAGGTAAAAGCGGCTTAGGTCCATCCCGCCACCGTGTCTGGGTTGTGGTTTAGGGGCCTGTTGGATGCATATGGGGAAATCGTGGAATGCTTCTTGGGGGGCCCTTTGAAAGCTCTTCGGGGCTTCTGGCAAGCTTCTCGGGGCTCCTTGAAGGCTTCGTGGGTGCCTCTTGGGGGCCTCGCTGGGGCGCCCTGGGGGGCTCTGGGGGGAGGCTCTTAGATGCATCTTGGGGTGGAAGTCATAAGAAGTCCGTGTGTGTCCCCCCCCCCAATCGGCCTCTTGGGGCCCCTCTCTGTGTGCCTTCTGAGCGATCTTGGGCACCGCTTGGGCCGTCTCGGGGCCCTCTGGGCCGCCGTGGGAGCCTCTTACGCCGTCATGGCGCGACGTTGGTAGCCTCGTGGGCGACCTTCCAGTGCCGTGTGCCCGAGAAGGCGAGGATGCAAAACAAACAAAAAGCAATTGAAAATCAATCAAACATCGAAGAGTTTGGCATCTTGGGGCCCTCTTGGGGCCCACTTCGGGCGCGCCTGGGGCCTCCTGGGGGCTTCGTGGGTCGCCTTGGGGTCATCGTGGGCGTCTTGGAGCGCTCTTAGGCCGTCTTGGATTCCTCGGGGCCCCTTCATCCGCGCTCCTCTGGGCCTTCTCGGCCCGTCTTGAGGCCCTCGGGGATCCCGAGGGTCCGCGCGATGGAGCCCAGCAGCGCGCGACTGTGCCCGAGCAATTTGAGGACGTGGGGCCCCTGTCTTTATCATACTACGGTGCGGCAGTATTCAATACAGATAGCAGGGAACACGTTGGCCGAAAGAAACGCCACGTCGCGCTCCGCGGCCTGGTGGCGGAACCCGTGGTTGTGATTTCCCAGGGGAAGCTCGACTACGTCGGGTACGCGCAGGCGAGCAAGCTCGCCGCGGACAAGGAGCTGACCGCATACGCGGCCACTTCGGTGGAGTTGGCCCTGGAGCGCTTCTCCACGCTGGGCATCCTGGAGGCTGACGCGAAGAACGCCGACCCCTTCGCCTAGCGGGAGGCGATGACCAAGATCCAGGGCCAGCTCACTAAGCACAACTACCAGTCTACGAAATGTTGCATCCCGCGGTGCTCGCAATCTACCGTGCTGGCTTGAGGATGCAGAAAGCGAGCTAGGGCACTGAGGCCTCGTGAGTCCCCCGCCCCCCTCGAGCAGCAAGCCAAACAGAGAACATTCACACCATGCGCACATCTAACAATCTAGTGGCCTGCGGCCCATGCCGCCACCGTGCCTGGGTTGTTGGGTCAGAGGCCTCTTGGATGTTCTCTGGCATATTGTGGGAGGCCGTTCGGGCGCCTATTGGAAGCAAATTTGAAGCCTCCTGGGGGCCGTTTGTGTGCTTCGTGGGGGCTCGTTTTGCGCCTCTTGGGTGCCTCGTGGGGCCTCTGGGTGGCCTCGTGGGCTCCCTTGGGGGCCTCTTGGGGCGTCCTGGTGGCCTCTTGAGGCAGAGGGTTCGAATTGTCGGTCAGTGTTTCCCCTCTTGGGCCCCTCTTGGGGCCGTCTTGGGGCCCCTTGGGCAGTCTTGGGCGCCTCTTGGGCCATTCTGGAGCCCTCTTGGACCGTGTTGGGGCCCTCTTGGGGGCCTCTTGGGCCGTCTTGTGGCAGTCTTTCGGGATTCGTGGTCCGTCTTGGAGCGTCGGAAGCACGAAAAGGCAATGACCAAAAAAACATTCAACAACACAAAACAATCAATACGTTTGGCCTCGTGGAGCCCTCTTGCGGTGCCTCTTGGAGCGCTCTTGGGGCCTCTTGGGGGCCTCATGGGCCGTCTTGGGGCCATCTTGGGAGTCTTGGAGCGCTCTTGGGCCGTCTTGGAGGCCTCTTGGGCCCTCTTGGGCGCTTATTGGGGCCCTTTTGGCCCGTCTTGGGGCCCTCCGGCCTCTTGGAAAATCCACGCGACCGAATCCAAGAGCGCGCAGTACCGCGCAGTAGCGCCCAGCAAATTCAGAAATTTGGGGCCCGAGCCCCATAGAATACCCGAATACAGCAATCAAGACTGAGAGTCTCTGGGGGACCTGGGGGAAACTCCCCTCGCGCCTCGCGGCGCGGTGGCGGATAGACACAACTGCATGTAGCATTAGGCACAAGCATCATCGCATACATAAGTGAACACATCCCCCTCTTCGGACGCTCTCGTTTGCCCGCGCCAACTCGTCGGACAGCGGCGCCCGCGTGGAAGTTGGGCGTGCGCGTGGAGGCGCGCGAGAGAGAGAGAGAGAGAAACCGTGCCCCGACGTCTCCATCGCGTCCAACATGGACGCCATCTTGGTTAATGTGCCCCCTTTGCCCCCCTCGATCCTGGACGCTTCGCATATCCCCGCCAGCTCCTAATTATCTGGCATTGCGCCCCACTGCCTAGTGACACCCCCTCTGGACTTCTCCTTCCGGGCCGCAAATCAAAAAAGTATCCCCGCCAGCCCATGCAGAGACGATGCCCAGGCGAGTTGCCTTGACCAAGGAAGTGCATCCGCACGCAATGAAGACCATATGCGGCGACCGTTGCCTCTGGAAAGGCGAGGGGTGCAAGCGGAGGAGGTGCTGGAGCAGTCACGGATGGGGCGCGATGGAGGGGGGGATCAGGAGGACGAGGAGGAGGACGGAGGAAGCGGATGAGGGCGGGGGGGGAGGAGGAGCAGGATGAGGAAATGGATGGGGGAGGAAGCAGGACACGACGACAAACAATAATATGAGTGCGACGGCGGCGGCGCCGACGACAACAGTTGTCAACTACCACGGCCTTTACAAATCTTTCGCTCTGGGAGTGTCTTGGGACCTTGCTGGGGCCATCGTGGACCCCTCTTGGGGGCATATTCGATGTCTCCTGCCAATTTGGCATCGCTTTAGAACGGCCTCGAGGGCTTTTGGGGCCATGGTGGATGCCACATTGAGTTATCTTGGGCTTCTCTGGGCGGCCTCGGATGTCATCTTGGGTTCCTCGAGGCCCTCTTGGGGCCATCCTCGGCCGTCATGGATGTTCCGACGCCAGCTACTTCATAGATGAGAAACGCTGGTAATAATGTGCACAAATACTTCATAGCTGAAGCAAACGGGTAGTAATAATCAGCACAGCTACTTCATAGCTGAAAGAGGCCGATAATAATCAGCACAGCTAGTTCATAGCAGAAAGAGGCCGATGATACCCTGCACAACTACTTCATACCTGAAAAGAGCCCGATAACAATCGCCCTACGCAAAGAGCGAGGAAGACGATGAAAAAGACAGCGAGGCTCTAACTGGATGATATCTGTGTCCCGCTCATGGAAGCAGTACGCTAAGACTGAGGCCGAACGCAAGGCTTGCAAAACTGAGCGCCACACGCGTGGACCCCGAGAACTGAACGACGAAATTGTAGACACCACCACCTGTATTGGCCGTCACGCACTGCATATCCCAAAGAGCACCCAGTGTATCAAACGCGTCTCCGCATGGCTCAAACCCATCTTCGGAGCAATAGGAAAGCAACTCCTGTGCTTTCTCGTAACGTCGTACTGTGCGGCTTGCTTTTTTGATCCTTTTCACGGCGTTTGCTGAAAGCTTTAATGATTTCGCTGCTGCATTGACGCCGGGTATGAGATCTGTGATGCAAATGCCTCCAGTCTGCTCAGACATCCAAGCCCAGAATTGGTCCCAACCTCCCGTGCTTGATGTGGATATCTGGAAGCTGGTTTGCATGCCATGCGTCATAAATTGAATGATTTCCCATGGGATAGTTATCTCCCCAGTTTCGGCAGACGAGAAAGTGTCACTCTCCATTATGCGCAGTTGGACGTCGGATTCTGCGGGACACTCAACTGTCATTAAACCTGCGTAGAAACAGTTATCATCTGTGGCACCCAATACAGGGTGGTAGTTCTTTTCGTCACCTGTCTCAAAGGAAGATTCATAGGACGACTCCCCACCAAGGCAAGACAACGTGAATTTTGGCTCCTCCGCGTCACCTCCAAACATGCCATCGTCTATCAATCCAGCTCTAATATACTTCACTTGTGTACGGAATGTCGCAGAATCCCCTACCAGTTCCACGCCACTCTGTTCCTGGCGTTCCACGTGTTCATCTGGCACCTTTCCGTCCTCGCATCCACATCCACTGATCGTGAAGGCGATCACGGCGAGCATGGCCATTGCAACTGGGAGAAGGCCCCGCATGATTACTGACAACCTGGTTGTGCAATACAAGGTACTTGCAATACAAGTTCCACTCAACAAAACGCTCTTGAGCCAAAATGGTTACGGCACAGAGCAGGAGGATCTGCAAGGGCCGCTGAAACATACGAGCGAGAACAGCCTGCTACGAGCAATGCCTCTCCCTCCCCTCCGTCTCCCACCCAATCTCTCTCCATCTGTCCATACCTCCCTTTCCCCCTCCATCGCATACCTCCCCCTCTCTGGCCACGCAACCCGACAAAGCAGGAACTGCGAGATTACCCGTGGCAAATCTGAGTTCAAGACGCCCAAGATGGCCCCGAGATTGGCCAAGAGGCATCCAAGACGGCCCAAGAGGTCCCAAACAAACCCTCCAAGAGGGCCTCAAGAGGCTAAAATTGTAGATTTCCCATTGTGTTTTTCTGTGTTGTTTGTCATTTCGCCTTTTCGGCTTCCCGACGCTCCAACACGGCCCAAGAGGCCCCGAAGACAGCCACAAGACGGCACAAGAGACCCCCAAAACGGCCCCAAGACGGCCCCAGATGGCCCCAAGACGGCCCAAGAGGTCCCCAAGACGGCCCAAGAGGGCTCCAAAACTGCACCAAGAGAAACCCAAGAGGGCGACCGAACATTCAAAAAAATCACCGGACAGCTCGCCCCTTGGCCCCCCGCCAGCCCCACGCCAAGGGGCGAGCATATATACGGGCGCAGCACCTCGCTGGAGGCGTAGCCGTCGGCTGGGCCGACCATGCAGATGATGCATCGCGTGGCGGCTGGATGCCCGCGCCGAGCACAGAGCTCTTCTCGGTTCCTCCCTCCTCTTCCTCCTCCTCCTCCTCTTCCACCTCCTCCTCCTCCTACGACTCCTCCACTTCCACCTCCTCCTCCCTTCTGCCGCCTCCTCATCCCGTCCGCGTCCTCCGCCCTCGAGCTGATCTCCCCCCCCCCGTCGTCCATTTTCAATGAAATCCTCCTCCCGCCGCCTCTTGCCTTGTCCTCCGCCTCCTTCCTCCTCGTCGGCCTCCTCGTCCAGCGCCTTCCTCTTCCCCTTGCCACTCTCCTTGCGAGCACCCTTTCCACGATCTCCGTGCCCTCCTTCCACCCCTCCTCCTCCCTCGTCCTCCTTCCATCGCCTCATCCCCGCCGTCATAATCCTCATCGTCTTCATCCTCATCCTCATCCTCATCCTCATCCTCATCCTCATCATCATCATCATCATCATCATCATCATCATCATCAGTCCTCCTCAGCATCAGCACCATGATCATCATGATCATCATGATCATCATCATCATCATCATCATCATCATCATCATCATCCTGCTCCTCCTCCTCCTCCTCCTGCTCCTGCCCCCTCCTCTTCGTCGTGGGTGCCATCTCTGCTCAAACTGCACAAGCCGCCCCCGTGCGAGAGCCCTTCCGCACTCTCCCGGTAGAAATTATGGTAGAAATGGCACCGGCCGTCGCCGCCACGATGATTGCGCAGCGTTTCCACCCTAGAAAGTGCTCACAGTTCCGCAGTGAAGTCAGGCAGTGACAATTGCTCAGCTGCTGTTTCGGCCAAGCCGCCGATCGTGTCCAGCACAGCTGCTTCGGGAGACCCCCGTTTCAGCAACAGCTCTGCAAGGACCGACTGAAAATGTCGAAGCGCATTGGCTTCGAGCGGTGGCCATTTCGCAGCTTCGTATTCTTTCCGTGCCAACAAAGACCGGCTCTGGTTGATCTTGGCCAACCGGTCGAAATTCAAGCCACGTTCCAAAGCAAGACCAGTCAAGGCAGGCACCCGAGACAAGACGGTAAACGTACCGCCCAGATGCATTTCCGTGTCGCCCAAGTTTGCAGCAACACAAGGAATTGTCATGCCCTGGGACTTGTGCATCGTGGCTTAAAACTGCCACCCGAAATATCCTCACCCGCTGGCTTAAAACTGCCACCGAAATATCCTCACCCGAGATATACTCACCCGCTGGCCTAAAACTGCCACCCGAGATATCCTCACCCGCTGGCTTAAAACTGCCACCGAAATATCCTCACCCGCTGGCTTAAAACTGCCACCGAAATATCCTCACCCGCTGGCTTAAAACTGCCACCCGAGATATCCTCACCCGCTGGCTTAAAACTGCCACGCGAAATATCCTCACCCGCTGGCTTAAAACTGCCACCCGAAATATCCTCACCCGTTGGCTTAAAACTGCCACCAAAATATCCTCACCCGAGATATCCTCACCCGCTGGCTTAAAACTTCCACCGAAATATCCTCACCCGCTGGCTTAAAACTGCCACCCGAGATATCCTCACCCGCTGGCTTAAAACTGCCACCCGAGATATCCTCACCCGCTGGCTTAAACCTGCCACCCGAGATATCCTCACCCGCTGGCATAAAACTGCCACCCGAAATATCCTCATCCGAAATATCTTCACCCGCTGGCTTAAAACTGCCACGCGAGATATCCTCACCCGCTGGCGTAAAACTGCCACGCGGAATCCTCATGGCCTGCACCCGAAATATCCTGAGCTCACCCGCCACCCGGCTTAAAACTGCCATATCCTCACCCGCTGGCTTAAAACTGCCACCCGAGATATCCTCACCCGCTGGCTTAAACCTGCCACCCGAGATATCCTCACCCGCTGGCATAAAACTGCCACCCGAAATATCCTCATCCGAAATATCTTCACCCGCTGCTTAAAACTGCCACGCGAGATATCCTCACCCGCTGGCGTAAAACTGCCACGCGAAATATCCTCACCCGCTGGCGTAAAACTGCCACCGAAATATCCTCACCCGAGATATGCTCACCCGCTGGCTTAAAACTGCCACCGAAACATCCTCACCCGCTGGCGCTTAAAACTGCCACCCGAAATATCCTCTCACCCGCTGGCTTAAAACTGCCACGCGAAATATCCTCACCCGCTGGCTTAAAACTGCCACCCGAAATATCCTCACCCGTTGGCTTAAAACTGCCACCAAAATATCCTCACCCGAGATATCCTCACCCGCTGGCTTAAAACTTCCACCGAAATATCCTCACCCGCTGGCTTAAAACTGCCACCCGAGATATCCTCACCCGCTGGCTTAAAACTGCCACCCGAGATATCCTCACCCGCTGGCTTAAACCTGCCACCCGAGATATCCTCACCCGCTGGCTTAAAACTGCCACCCGAAATATCCTCATCCGAAATATCTTCACCCGCTGGCTTAAAACTGCCACGCGAGATATCCTCACCCGCTGGCTTAAACCTGCCACCCGAAATATCCTCACCCGCTGGCGTAAAACTGCCACCGAAATATCCTCACCCGAGATATCCTCACCCGCTGGCTTAAAACTGCCACCGAAACATCCTCACCCGCTGGCGCTTACCGAAATATCCTCACCCGCTGGCTTAAAACTGCCACCGAAATATGCTCACCAGCTGGCTTAAAACTGCCACCCGAAATATCCTCACCCGCGGCTTAAAACTGCCACCCAAATATTCTCACCCGCTGGCTTAAAACTGCCACCCGAGATATCCTCACCCGCTGGCTTAAAACTGCCACCCGAGATATCCTCACCCGCTGGCTTAAACCTGCCACCCGAGATATCCTCACCCGCTGGATTAAAACTGCCACCGGAAATATCCTCATCCGAAATATCTTCACCCGCTGGCTTAAAACTGCCACGCGAGATATCCTCACCCGCTGGCTTAAACCTGCCACCCGAAATATCCTCACCCGCTGGCGTAAAACTGCCACCGAAATATCCTCACCCGAGATATCCTCACCCGCTGGCTTAAAACTGCCACCGAAACATCCTCACCCGCTGGCGCTTAAAACTGCCACCGAAATATCCTCACCCGCTGGCTTAAAACTGCCACCGAAATATGCTCACCAGCTGGCTTAAAACTGCCACCCGAAATATCCTCACCCGCGGAAATAAAACTGCCATCTAACGGCCTGGTGGTTCAGTTCAGTCTGTCAGTGTCTACCTCGCGAGAATCAAATTACGGGCTGCGCCCGTAAAAAAAAAGTATCCCCGCCAGCCCATGCAGAGACGATGCCCAGGCGAGTTGCCTTGACCAAGGAAGTGCATCCGCACGCAATGAAGACCATATGCGGCGACCGTTGCCTCTGGAAAGGCGAGGGGTGCAAGCGGAGGAGGTGCTGGAGCAGTCACGGATGGGGCGCGATGGAGGGGGGGATCAGGAGGACGAGGAGGAGGACGGAGGAAGCGGATGAGGGCGGGGGGGGAGGAGGAGCAGGATGAGGAAATGGATGGGGGAGGAAGCAGGACACGACGACAAACAATAATATGAGTGCGACGGCGGCGGCGCCGACGACAACAGTTGTCAACTACCACGGCCTTTACAAATCTTTCGCTCTGGGAGTGTCTTGGGACCTTGCTGGGGCCATCGTGGACCCCTCTTGGGGGCATATTCGATGTCTCCTGCCAATTTGGCATCGCTTTAGAACGGCCTCGAGGGCTTTTGGGGCCATGGTGGATGCCACATTGAGTTATCTTGGGCTTCTCTGGGCGGCCTCGGATGTCATCTTGGGTTCCTCGAGGCCCTCTTGGGGCCATCCTCGGCCGTCATGGATGTTCCGACGCCAGCTACTTCATAGATGAGAAACGCTGGTAATAATGTGCACAAATACTTCATAGCTGAAGCAAACGGGTAGTAATAATCAGCACAGCTACTTCATAGCTGAAAGAGGCCGATAATAATCAGCACAGCTAGTTCATAGCAGAAAGAGGCCGATGATACCCTGCACAACTACTTCATACCTGAAAAGAGCCCGATAACAATCGCCCTACGCAAAGAGCGAGGAAGACGATGAAAAAGACAGCGAGGCTCTAACTGGATGATATCTGTGTCCCGCTCATGGAAGCAGTACGCTAAGACTGAGGCCGAACGCAAGGCTTGCAAAACTGAGCGCCACACGCGTGGACCCCGAGAACTGAACGACGAAATTGTAGACACCACCACCTGTATTGGCCGTCACGCACTGCATATCCCAAAGAGCACCCAGTGTATCAAACGCGTCTCCGCATGGCTCAAACCCATCTTCGGAGCAATAGGAAAGCAACTCCTGTGCTTTCTCGTAACGTCGTACTGTGCGGCTTGCTTTTTTGATC